CGGGCGGGGCGCTGTGAGGAGCGGGGAGGGGGGTCCCGCGCCCCGGCGCGCCGGCCGGCCCGGCTCAGCCAGGATTTACCCGGCACACGCGGCGGTTCAGGGTATTATATAAAGGAGGTTACACAAGCAGGACTGTTCCGGGTTTATGTAAGGGCCACCCCGGTCTGGCGGCAGAGGGATGGACAGTGGGACGGGCAGCGGAACGGGCAGTACCGCTCGGACCTGGGGTCACTGTGAGACTGGGATGAGGAGTTCTGGGGGTCTGACAGGGCAGGGCCCCTAAGTCACACCCTCCCGCAGCCTCGCTCGCCCCAGCCATTGCAGTGGCATCTGCCCCACGGCACACTGGCTCCCTCCGGTCTCCAGGGGTCTTCCACCCTGACCAGGCTGCTCAGTTCGGGCCCTACTGGTCCACGCTGTTACCGTGGCCAGCCGGAGGAGTGCAGTGACACCTGAGGAGGTGCTGGGGCTGTGTGGCCACGGAACTTGAGGCAGGGGGGCAGTTCCCCCCCCAGCCAGCCCCAAGGAAACTGAGGCATGGGGCAGAAGCCTGCAGGTAGCAGTGCTGAACCCTCTCCCATCCCCTGTCCTCGGCTGGCAGAGCTGAGGAAAAGGGGGGAGGCTGCTGCCCTCGATGTGGGGCTGGGACTGCTCACACCGGCGCCAGCAGCTCCCCCAGCCCCCGGCATCCTCCAGCCTCTGCGCCTGCGCCCGCGCCGCTGCCGGTAACACCGTGCCCTGTTACCGTCAGCGCTCGGGCACCGAGCCAGGGCTCTCCCGCAGCTGCGCCAGCCCCGGGGGGCACCCGGCCTGCAGTGACACCCTCCAGGGCCGGCCCTGCTGCCCGGGGGTCGTTCCCACGCGCTGAGACCGCGGGCGGGTGTCGCTTGGGGCCCGGGGGCACCGTGCCAGCCAGCGGGGCCGGGGTGCGGGATCCGTAATTCAATGGGTGGCACGGGGCCAGGCTGCCAGCGCGGCCCGGAGCCCAGGCAGCCCGCGCCCCCCCGGGCACACACTTGGCTATTTTTAAGAGATTGGATCGACCTGTTTGGGCACTGAGCACTCTCCTCTGCCTCGCCGGTGACGACCCCGCACTGAACCCCTTCCCCCTTGAGCTCCTCACAGTTTGGCAGCAGGACCACCCCCACCTCCATCCCCCATCCTGGCCTCCCAGAGGGGTGGAGGGCGCAGGATCAACTAAGCAGCAGGGGCATGGGGGAGCTTTACAGGCTTCTTTCTCCTCTCTGGTGCAGTCGAGCCACTTGTTGGGTCCTGGGTTTGGAGTCTTCCCCCAAACACCCCTTGTGTGGAGCGCGGCCTGTGAGCCCGGGGCTCCCTTCGCCATTTTAGCGCGCCAGCCGGCGCAGGCGGCCGTCACATGGCGGTGAGAGCAGCGCTTGGCCCGGCCGCCCCGCGCCGAGGAGGCAGCCAAAAATCTGCTGGCGAGCTCACCCGCCCAGCCACGGGGAGCGCCGGGGGTGCCGGGCCCCGGCCCCAGCCTTGCACCCACCGCCTCCATCAGCCCGGACACGAGGGGGCAGGGAGGGGCCGGCCTGCTGCCAAACCTCCGAGCTCGGGAAAGTCCCGGGTGCTGCTCGGGCTGCTGCAGGTGGGAGCGGAGTGCCCGGTTTGGGGACAAGGTCCCCAAGGAGTCCCTCAGCAGCAGGGGTCGGTGAGGGGGCACTGGAGGTGCCGGGTCAGCGTGGTGCTGGGGGATGGTTTGGGGATACACGGATGTGGGGCCCACCTGGGCCACCCAGGGCTAGTGATGGCCCTCCCGAGTGCCCTTGGGGAACAGGGACCAGGCTGGGGTGGTTGGTGTGGGCAAAGGTCCATGTGGGCACCTCAGGACGAGTGGTGGAGGTCCCTGGGCCGGGTCAAAGGCTGTGTGGGCACCTCAGAGGCACCAGGCGAGGGCACGGCCTGGGGAGCTACCCCGAGGCCAAGCACCCCAGGACTGGGCAAGGGGGGGTCCCAGGGAGCCCTGAGGCCACGGTGGGGGGCTGTGGGGAGCCGGGCCGGCCTCAGGCTGTGACCGCCAGCCACCGTCCCGCGCCTTGGCCGGGCTCCACGCTAACCACTTCCAGAGCCGCCGCCAGATTTGTTGTTTTTAGAGGCGAGGAGGGGCCGTGTCCGGCCACGCGGTGCCCGTGGATGCGCGGGGGGGTCCCCAGCCACTCCCCCATCCCGGCTGGTTTGTGCCCCGCTCGCTCCCACCACCCACACCCCAGTACTTGGGCACGCAGCCGCTTCAAAATGGGGGAATAGAGCTAGAAAAAGAGAAATGGAGAGAAGGGAAGGAAAAAACCCTGCACCCGTCTCCAGGGGGAGTTTCTGCTCCCTAAAATGGCTGCCTGGCGGGAGCCTGGGGTGCGGGCACGGGGCGTCTGGTGGTGGTGAGCGGCATCAGGGCAGGATGCCATGGTGCTGCCAGCGTGGTGCCAGGCTGGCACGGGATGTGTGGAGGGGATGGTGGCAGCTGGGCCGTGAGACAAAATGGCTGATTTGGCATCGGCCTTGAGCAGTCCCGGGGGATGTGGGCACAGGGGGGTGTCAGGCTGGAAGGTGGCACAGCCCCACTGTCCCCATGGACAGCCTACCTGGTGGGCAGCACAACAGGGGTGTCAGGGTGAGGGGTAGCATGGAGCCCACATGGATAACTTGCCCAGCCAAGGATAACCAGTCTGGGAGCCACATGTGAGTGCAAGGGACTTGAGGGAAGAAAAAGGAGGAGAAAGACAGGGAGAAAGGGAAAAATCCCAAGGCAGGCACATGGGCTGGCAGTTGCAGCTGCGTGGTTTTGTTGGTGTTTTTGGATTGTCTCAGCCCTTTCCTGACATCTGCCAAGGCTGCCAGAGAGAAATGCCGGAGCCAGGGGGTGGGAGGAGGAGGAGGAGAATGGAGAAACAGGGGGAAGAAGGAGTATGGGGGAGAAATATGTGGCAGAAGTTATGGAGAGGCTTTGGGAGCAGCCAGGTGAGGAAGGATGCTCCTGACTGCAGGGTCTGGGCTGTGCCAGGCTGTGCCAGGGCTGCTGAGCTCAGCGTCTGAGCCAGGATATTTTTAGCCAAGAGGGAGCAGGGCTGGACAGGGCTCCAGGAGTCAGAGCAGGTGCTGTCCCAAGACCTGCTGCCCTCCAGGAGCTGAGCAGAGGCAGGACAAGGTGCCACAGGTTGTGCCATGCTGCGCTGACACTGCCTGTTGGGGCAGCACTGGGTCACAGCTGTGGCTGCAGAGAGGAGAGGAGGCAGGAGCAGGGCCAGGTGACCATCACCCAGCCCTGCCCTGGGGTTCCCCTGCTGCGGGGAGCAGTGCCCAGATCCTGCATGTGGCGCTGTCCCTGCTCCTGTCGCTGGCAGGGAGGGCAAGGGGGGCTGGTTGGTGACTGTTGCTCAGTGGCTGGGGACATGCCAGCTTGGTGGTGGCCCTGCTGTGTGGTGAGAGCTGCTGGGCAGCCTATGCCTCAGTTTCCCCCAGCATGGAAATGGAGGGGCAGTCAGCTGGTGGCAACCCTGGCTCACACTGGCACAAAGGCTGCCACTGGCATGGGGGGCTCACCCTGGGCTTTGCCTCTTGCAGATGCAGAGCAGAGCAGCAGCCCCCGGACAGGCATTGGCTCGGACCAGGAGGACAGCAAACCCATCACGCTGGGTGAGTGCAGAGGGCAGGGCTTGGGCAAAGGACAAGGGACACCCCAGACTGTCCCCAGGGTCCCTGTCATGGCAGGGGTGGGGAGCCCATGACAAAGTCATGCTGCGTGGCCCCTGCAACGAGCTGGGCATAGCCTTGGGGGCAGCAGCTGCCATGGAGGTGGGGGTGAAGCCTCAAGCCCTGCCAGCACTCTCAGCCACAGGGAAACTGAGGCACTGAGCAGGTCCAGGGCATCTTCAGCAGAGAGAACCAATTGGGGTGGTGTCTTGCTGGAGCAGGGACTGGACGCTAACGAGGGGGACAGATGGGATTTGGGGTGCCCTCAAGCATCGCCACAAGGCAGTGCAGGATGGGTGGGGTGGTCCTGTTGCCCCCTCAGCACACCCTCCTCTCTCCCACACAGATTCGACAGACTTCCAGGAAAGCTTCGTCACCTCGGGGGTGTTCAGTGTCACCGAGCTCATCCAGGTGTCCCGAAGTGAGTGTGACTGTGATGCCACAGCCCAACCCTTGGCTGCTTGGGCACAGCAGTGTCCCAACAGCCCCCCCATCCCACAGTGGGTTGGGGCTCCCCTCCCCACCGAGCCCCAGTGACCCCCCTCTCTCCCTGCAGCACCGGTGGTGACGGGCACAGGGCCAAACTTCTCCCTGGGGGAGCTGCAGGGCCACCTGGCCTATGACCTGAACCCCTCCAGCACCGGCATGAGGAGGACACTGCCCAGCACCTCCTCCAGCGGGTAGGTGCCACCGGGGCTGCGCCAGGGTGGTGCCAGGGCCAGCCCAAGCACGGCCGTGGAGAAGGCGAGGGGCAGCCAGGTCCTGCCACGGGCTGGCACTGACCCATGACAGGCTGGGAGAGCTGGGGCTGTTCAGCCTGGAGAAAACTCCAGGGAGAGCTCAGAGCCCCTTCCTATGCTTAAAGGGGCTCCAAGAGAGTTGGAGGGGAAGCTTGGACAAGGGATGGACTGCCAGGACAAGGGGGAATGGCTTCCCACTGCCAGAGGGCAGGGCTAGATGGGTTCACTTCCCTGTGAGGGTGGGCAGGCCCTGGCACAGGGTGCCCAGAGCAGCTGTGGCTGTTTCTGGATCCCTGGAAGTGTCCCAGGCCAGATTGGAAAGGGCTTGGAGCAGCCTGGGACAGTGGAAGGTGTCCCTGCCCATGGCAGGGGGTGGAATGGGATGAGCTTTAAGGTCCTTTCCAACCCAAACCATTCCATGATTCTGTGACTCTTCCCTGTCCCCAGGAGCAAACGGCACAAGTCGGGGTCCATGGAGGATGACATTGACACCAGCCCTGGGGGCGAGTACTACACCTCCTCCAACTCCCCCACCAGCAGCAGCCGCAACTGGACAGAAGACATGGAAGGGGGTAGGTGCCACCTCCTTACCAGTGTCCTGGGGCCCCCATCCTGCTCTCAGAATTCTGCAAACCACTACCATCCCATGTGACCATCTGGGCACTGTCCATGCCCCAGTGTCCCTATGGGCCTTAAGGTCAGGACACACTGGCTGTGGGGGCTGTGGTGCCACCCTCAAGTCCCCCAAAACAATCCCTGCTGCTTTTCCATGGGGCCTGTGGGGTTGCTGTCAAACCCCCCTGATGTAGGCACAGGCTTTCCATAGGTGCCCAGGTGTGGCTGTGGCCTCCCACTTTGGGTAGGGCTCTGTGGGGACTGTGGTGTTGCTACAGGGACCCCCACTTCAACACGGGTTCTCTCTGTAGGGCCACCCCAGCCTCCAGCCCCATGCCTGCTCTGGCAGCCCCACACCAGTCTCTCCCAGCCCCAAGTCAGCTCCCCCAGCCCCACATCACTGTGGACAGCTTTCTGGCTTGGTGGTTTTTTTCCCTTTCCTGTCTAGACAAGCCCCAATTAGCTGTTCATTAAGAAAGGGGGGGCTGGGCTAATTAAAGCGATGCTGCAGGGCTGGCACAGCAGCTCCCACACCCCGAGGTGCAGGCAAAGAAGCTGCTCCTCTTCCTCTTCCCTTGTCTCTTCTCCTGCCTCCCCCAGCAGCAGGGTGGGCTACACACCACCCCCCTAGCCCTGCCAGAGCCTGGGGTGCCTGGCCAGGGGGCTGGAGGCACCAATCCTGTTGAAAGGAGGTTTGGGGGATGCAGATCCAGCCCCCAAACTGTGTCCCTTGTGTGCAGGGACTGTACCTCATCCTGCCCCATGGGGCTGGTGCAGGGGGGTCTTGGGGAAGGTGCAGCCCCCTCCCCGAAATGGTGCATGGAGGCAGGAGGGAGCTGTGCCAGGGCATCTGTCCCCTGCTGGTGGCCTGACCCGGGCAGGGGTGAGGGTGCCTGGCGGGGGGGCTCAGCCTTGGCGGCGGGGAGGGGGGCTTGGCAATCCTGTACGGGATGTTCTGGGAAATCCTCCTAACGCCTGACTGAGAAAGGGCTAAACCCATTACCAGGCCCGGGCCAAATGGCCAGAGCTAAAGCCACGGCGGCAGGGGATTAATGTGCCTGCCACCCCCCCGCTCAGCCCCATGCCCTGGGGTGGCCTCGGGGACCTGGGCAGCCACTGCTGCCAGGGTTCTCTCGGGTGGTCACCCCCATGCTGGTACCTCTCTGCCTCCCCAGGAGCTCCTGTAGCCCCCAGCCCCATGTGCCAGGGGAGGTGGGTGCCATGTAGGGGCTGCAGAGCCACAGTGGCATCTGTGAGGGCACCCACTTCTGCCACGAGGGTCGGACACACAGGCACAGAACTGTGTGCACCCGCATGCACACACCTGCAGGAGCACACGCCTGTGCACGGCTGTGCATGTACACACACAGGTACAGAGCTGTGCTGGCACATACACACATGCACACACATTCGTGCACACAGGTGTGCCCCCAGAGGTGCCCACCCTCCTGCCAGCACACACACATGCTCACAGCGCCACCCTCCCCATGCCCACCCTGACCCCGGGGGTGCCCCCTGCCCCCAGAATGAGCTCTCCCAACACTGCACTGAGATGGCAGCAGCCATGGGATTTGGGGTCCCATGGCAGGTCCTGACGTTTCACCCTGCTTTCCCCAGGCATCTCCCCCACTGTGAAGAAGACAGAGATGGACAAGTCCCCCTTCAACAGCCCATCACCCCAGGACTCCTCGCCCCGGCTGAGCAGCTTCACGCAGCACCACCGTCCCGTCATCGCTGTGCACAGTGGTGAGTGTCCTGCCAGGGAAACCGAGGCACAGAGTGAGCGCTGAGGGGTCGGGGGCTGGGGCAGCCACTAGCTAGTGACACAGGTGCGTGTCCCCTTTTGCTGTCGCCCGCAGGTATCGCCCGAAGCCCGCACCCATCGTCTGCGCTGCATTTCCCCACCACTTCCATCCTTCCCCAGACGGCCTCCACCTACTTCCCGCACACGGCCATCCGGTACCCGCCTCATCTCAACCCGCAGGACCCGCTCAAAGATCTCGTCTCGCTGGCCTGCGACCCGTCCAACCAGCAGCCCGGACCGGTAAGGACGCAGCCTTGTCCGTGGGCACCGGGGGCTGCTGCCAGCCGGGCTGCCCGAGGAGAGTCCCCTGGACCGGCGCCGCCGCCATCACCTCTGCCGCCGCACGGGGGGGTCGGGGTCTTCCGGTGGCACCGGCGGGATGTTCTCTGGGGCTGAGCTCCAGCCGTGCCGTGCGTTGGTTCGGGAGCGCTGCTGCGCCTGTTCCGTGTTGGCACCTCGTGTTTCGGCGATGGAGGTGCTGTGCCCCGGCCCAGCACGGGGCACTGCGGGTGTTGGGGTGCTGGGGCTGAGCCGTCAGCCGGTGTTGGGGTGTTGCGGGGAGCAAGGTATCTGCCAAGGGTGTGTGACCATCTCCTGGAGTCACTGTCTGCCAGCGTGTCCGGGAGAGTGATGGGCTTGACATGCCCCATCCACCTGCAGAGCCCACGGGTGACCCATCAGCTCCTCTGGAGCTGTACCCGTGTCCTCAGTGTCCCAGCACAGAGCCACACTATACTGCTGTGGGCCTTCCCTTGCCACAGTGCCCTGCACCCCCATGCACCCAGTGCACCCCACAGACGTGGAACCCCACACAGCCATCACCCCACACCCCGTGCCCCCATCACCAATCTCTGTAACCAGCACCATGCACATGCAGCACCCAGTGCGTGCAGCAGCCAAACCATCACCCCATACACCCAGAACCCACAACACATGACACAGCGTGCACCACCAGTGCCTTACACACCCCATGAAGGGCACCCTTCATATCCAAAGCCAGAGCCTGGGGGTGTTCCTGCTCTCATACTGTCCTGTGTCCCCCTTTGTCCTCCCAGATGCAGAACTCTTGGGGAGCCCCTTTGACCTCTGCCCACCACTTGGCTGTTTCCCCTCACCATCAGGGGCTGATGCCAGGGTGAGGAACATGGCCACTGTTCCCCTGAGCAGTGGCTCAGTGCTGGGCTGATGGACACCAGATCAGGAGCAACGGCCAGGTTGGGCAGGGAGCACTGGTGCAGGAGCCTTTGGAGGCTCTGGGTGTCCCTACCCCTCCAGGGACTGCTTCAGAGACCCTCCTGTCACTGTAGAGAGGGGTCCCAGCTGCAGCGTGCGCCACTCTGGGTCATGGTCCCCGCAGAGCATGGCCTCCACAGCCCCCCAAACCCTCCTGTCCCGCCGTCATTTTGTGCCTGCTGCCAGCGCCGACCGTTCAGGGCTGCTCTGAGACCCACCAAACTCATGTCTGCAGTGAGGGACACCCCGTGCCTGTGCCGAGGGTGTCCCCGGGGCTCCCCAGCCATGCTGGTGTGCGCGTGCATCCTAATGGCTTGTGCTGTTTGTTTTTTGTCTGTGTTGTCCCCAGTTAAATGGAAGTGGTCAAGTGAAAGTGCCCAGCCACTACCTGCCCACGCAGATGCTGGCGCCGCCACCTCCCCCCGGCATGCCCCGCTTGGCCGTCTCTCCTGACACCAAATCCACCACGACAACTTCCGAGGGAGGGACGACCTCGCCGACATCACCCAGTAAGCACCCGCGGCGCCCACCCTGCTCCCCGGCCCGGCTGGCCCCCTCCTCTCACAGCCCCCCAGGGGGTCCCCCTGTCCCGGTGCTGGGGGGATGTTGGCGGAGGTGGCCTCCCCGCAGCCGGGGAGAGGGCGGCAGCTGGCACGCCATGAGTTTGCTGGGTCTCAGGCAGGTCGGAGCGGACAGGGTTTGGGCAGGTGGCCGCTGGGGCCGCTGAGCCAAGGGGTTGTGTGCTGGTCCTGGGGACCAGCTCGGGCCCCTTGTCCCTCTGAGCATGAGTGGAGCCACGGCAGGGCTCTCCAAAGCAGAGTCCTGCCCAGACCCTCGGTGTGAGCAGTGCTGTGGGGGAGGCCATGGCCTCTCCGTGTCTGTTTATCCCACCATGGTGGTGGCCGTGCTGCCGGGAATGGGGAGCAGCTGGCACGCGGGTGGCACTGGGACTAGGGACAGTGTGCCTGGTGTGTTGTGTAGGCTGTCATACTCATGCTGCCATGGGGGTTCTTGGCGCCGGGGATTCTGATCTTGTTGGGGGTGTGAGGTGACACTAGAGCAGGGACTGTGCGCGGGTCTCCCAGAGCCCTGGAAGTTTGTCAGCAAGGTGGCTGACAAATTCTTTGCCATCCCCTCCACCTCAGGGGCCATAAGTGCCTTGTCCAGGAGGGTTTTGGATGCTGGACTCAATAGCCAGAGGGGAGCTGGTGTCACCCCAGAATGGCACAGGGGTGTGTGCTGCAGTGGTGGGACACTGTGCCATCGCCACACTCTGTGAGGGGGTTGTTCCTGTTCCTTTTCCCATCCTGGTACCCCAGGTGTCTGCCATGTCTCCACACAGCCAAGCCCTACCTGATCGAGCCATTGTCCCTGGGTAATGGGCCATGGCTGATTGCAGCAGCTGGTCAGCAGGTGTGGTGATCCCATGGCATGCAGAAGCCAAAGCCTGGACAATCTGGAGGGGACAGCATGGGATAGCCTGGCTGATAAGGCATCACAGCCTTGGGGAGGGACAGAAGAGTGCAAGTTCCTGCAGGCTCAGGGCAGGATGCATTAGGAGGACACTGGCTGTCCCCAAGGGGTGCAGCTGGCTACAAATCCCCCATTCCCCTTGGCAGCACTCTGCTTCCAGCAGGGCTGAACGCAGAAGCTCAGCAGGGCTGGAAGTTCCACTGCTGGATCCCCAGCTGAGGGATGGAGGTGGCAGCAGGGTGACGTGGCCAAGTGGAACTGGTGGCTGCCATTGTTCTCGCCGTGGCAGCTCAGCTCCGGGAGCCACAGCGCAGGCACAGCCAGGGGCACCATCTGCGCCTGCACCCCGGGGCACCTCGCCCCTCCAGCCTCAGTCATCGCCCCGAAGCAGGGGTGGTACCGAGCACAGCGCCCTGGGTGCAGCACCCCTGGGCTCCATTCATCTGCCATCAGGTCACAGCCAGGGACGTCTCCTGGTCGCCAGCACCGGGTGCCAGGGAGCTCCGTCCCAGCAGTGCCAGGGAGAGGGCCGGGCCTGGCCCCTGGGGGGACAATGGCAGTGCCACCCGCAGCCCCGTTAATGAGCTCTCATTTGTTCCCCAGCCTACTCTGCACCAGGCACGCCCCCTGCGAACCGTTCCTTCGTGGGATTAGGACCAAGGGATCCTGGGAGTATCTATCAGGCACAGGTGAGAGCGGGGATGCTGCTGGGGGGACCCTCCTGCCCTCGCCCCGGGCACCCTCGCCATGGCATCACCGTGGGCATGGCCGGTGCTGGCATTGCCATTGTGGCTGTCGCTGACGTGACATTGCTGATCTGGGCTCCCCGCCGTGGTGCCCCTGACGTAGCATCACTGCTGTGGCATCACTGCCATGGCATCGCTGCTGAGGGCATTGCCACCATGGCATCACTGCCGTGGGCCTTGCCACCATGGCATCACTGCCGTGGCATTGCTGCCATGTTTATTGCTCCTGTGGGCACTACCGTGGGTATCGCCACTGTGGCATCACTGCTGTGGGACATTGCTGTTGTGGATGTAACCTCTGTGGCCATCACTGCTGTGGCCTTGCCACCATGTCTGAGGCCACGAGGAGTATCACCACAGCAGTGGCATCACCACTGTGGGCATTGCCACCACTGGCGTGGCCACTGCAGACATTGCTGTTGTGGACGTCCCTGCCATGCCATCACTGCCATGAGTGTTGCTGCTGTGGGCAGTGCCACTTGGGGCACCACTGCTGTGTACGTCACCATTGTGGGGTTATTTCCATGTGCAATGCCACCATGGGCATCACCACTATGGCGTTGCGGCTCTGGCACTGCCACTGCCAGCTTTGCTGCTGTAAGCATCACTGCCTGGCATCACTGCTGTGGCCCACGGGCATTGCTGCCGTGACATCCTCGCTACAGGCACCCGGTGCCAGGGCTTTGGGCACTGCTGGTGGCTCAGGGCCACCACGAGTCCTCCATCATAGAGGGAGGTCACTGCCGTGCTCTGGCTGCGTCCTGCCTGGCACCACCTGGCACCACACTGCCTAGGTGCCCAGAACATCCCCAAAGGAGCAGCACCAGGGCCATGGGTCCCTCTCTGTGTGGGCAGGGGCACTGCTCACCCTCGGCTGTGCCCATGGCCGCTCCGGCTGCAGCGGGAGGTCGTGTGTGCCTTTCCAGGGGCTTTCCATTAGTCCTGGATTCTGGAGCTGGCACTGGTGCTACAGGCAGTACCACAGTGCCAGGACAGGGGTGGCAGCTCCTGGGCTCACTTGTGACATGAGTGGTCTGGCCTCAGCATTCCCTGCAGGGGCAGCTGCAGTCCTGCCTGGCAGGTGACACAGATGACAGGACAAAGGAATGGGGTGTGGACGGTGCCATGTTGGGGCACCCTGGGGTGCTGTCCTGGTTGAGGGGGGTCCTCAAGGTGTGCTGTGCTGTGCTGGGGTGTGGCCTTGGGGGCTGTGAGCAGTGATACAGGGTACCTGGGGGTGCTGTGCTGTGCCAGGCTGTGAGATTTGGGAACCATGAGCTGGGACACCCAAGGGTGCTGTGCCGTTCCAGAGGAAAAACACGGGGGACCCGGCTCTGATCACAACCCCCACCCTGCCTCAGTTTCCCCATCCTGCACATGGGGTGGGCAGCACCCCAAGGGCCTTGGGTCCCTAAAGTGGAGACCTGGGGCAGCACCAGGAGAACCTTTGAGGAGCAGGGGGCCAGAGTCCCTGTCCAGAGATAGGGGTCAGAGCCACTCTCAGTCCCAGGACCCCCAGGGTCCCTGTGAATAGGTGTCCCTAGTCATGCTCCGGGAGGCTCCCCAGGGCTCGAGGATGCTCTGCCTGGGGAAACTGAGGCACGGGAGAAGGAGGTGGTGTCCCAGAAGGGGCAGCTGAGACCTGCCATGCTCTGGTCATATGTGGCGGGGCCTGGAAGGGTTAAGGGAAGCAGCGGCCCCGAGCTGTCTCGTTTCCAACGGAAACCAGACATGAGGTAATCGGGAATGAACTTGAACTTGGGGCTGGGGGGAAACAATGGGAGGGTGGCAGGGGGCCACCTCGGGGTCCCTAGCCGTGCCCCCCCTACCTGTCCCCGGGCGGCACTGGGCAGAGCCGCCCTTTGCCGTGAGGGTGCAGAGGGACCGGCCCCAGGGGAACGCGGGCGGCCGCGGTGCGGAGGACGGACAAACTCAGCGTAGGAGTGGGGACAGCAGCCCCGTGCGCCGAGCAGGGAGAGCGCAGGGACAGCGCAGGGACCGCGCAGGGACCGCGCAGGGGAAACAGGCTCGGGCTCTGGGGACCGGGACCGGCGGGAGGACGGGGCAGCTCCGGGGGCAGAGCACTAACGCGGGCCTCTCTCCTCTCTCCCGACAGTCCTGGTACCTGGGATAACCGCCGCCGTGCCGCCCCTTCGCCTCCCTTCTCCTCTGCTTTAGGCACCCCCAGAGGAACATCCCCGTCCCCGAGCACCAGGCCCAGCCTTGCGGTGACGACGGAGAGTGCGGCCTCATGACGACGACGACGACGACGACAAGTAAAACCCACACCCGAAGGAAAGAGCAAGGGAAAGGAAGAAGGAAAAGGGTCAAACTGTTTTAAAATGGAAAAAAAGAAAAAAACCCCACAAACAAAAAACAAACAAACCAACAACCCATCCCTGGAGGACCTTTCCCCCCACCCCGGCGATGCGCCAGAAAACAAAGAAACAGGAAAAAAAAGAAAAAAAAAAAAAAAAAAAAAAGAAAAAAACACTATAATTTACCCCGTGGGCCGGCGCCGCGCTGAGACCTGACACAAGCGGTGCCAGCAATGCCTCCCGGAGCGGCTGCAGGGCCGCGGCGCCGAGCCCCGCCGGCCGCTCGCCGAATATGCAAACGGCTTTGACTCTCGTTCTTGCCTCTATGTGAGTAAAAAAGATCAAAACCTTCCCCGCCGACCCCCCCGGCCCCAGACTGTCGGGGGTTCCCGGGGCTGGGTGGGGAACCCCTCCCGTGCCGCGGCCCCGCGGAGCGGGCGCGCTCGCGGTCGGGCGGGTGACGCTCCGTGCTGCGCGAGCGCCCCGGGGCCGGTGGCATCGTGCTGCGGTGGCACGGTGACGGTTGTGCGGTGGCACAGTGGTTCGAGCGGGTGGCACAGGGGGCTTGTGACCACAGATGGTGTATGGGCACGGCCAGAGATGGTCGCGGCGGCGGTGGCACCTCGGTTCCCTTGCGGACACGGTGTCGGGACGCTCCCACCTCTGCCCCAAACGCCACAGCGGCGGTGGCACCCCGATTCCATCGGGGACACGGCACGGGGACTGTCGCAGCCCGGCGGCCACCGTCGCGCCGAGGCACGGTCACCATCTCTCTGGTCGCGTTCCTCCCCCGAGCCGGCGCCGGTGTCCCCACCCGTGTCCCTGTGTCACCCGGCATGTCCTCGCGCCCGGGGGGTCCGCGGGGCTGGGGGGGAGGGGGCGTGCGTCCGTGTGTTTGAGCTATGCATTCCTGTGGACAGGTACCAGGTGGGAGGCAGGGTGCGCTCGTGTTGCACATTTTGTAGGAAATGCACTTTTAAGAGGGAATCATCAAAAAAAAAAAAAAAAAAAAAGGAAAAAGAAGAAGAGAAAAGAAAACAAAATCACAAAAAAAGGAGGAAGAGGAGGAGGAGGAGGTGGAGTCCCCGGCACCGGCTTGCCGGGACGGCTGGTTTGGGGTTTTTGGGTTCGGTGGTTTTGTTTTTTTGGGTTTGGTTTTTTTGGTTTTTTTTTTTTTTTTGGGTTTTTTTGGTTTTTTTTTTTTTTTTTTTTGGATACAAAAGGATGGAGCAAAGACGCCCGAGCGACGGCGAGGGCAGAGCCAGCCCCCCGGAGCCCCTCGGAGTCCCCAGAGTCCCCCGGCGTCCCCCGGAGCCCCCGGCCCCGCGTCAAGTGCCTGAACTGCGGCGGGGAGGGGCCCCGGCCCTCCCGGAGGAGCCCCCGGCCGGGGCAGCGCGGGAGGAAGCGCTTGGCCGTCCCCGTCCCGTGCGGGGACAGCGTGGCCGGGAAGGGGACGCAGGGACGTGGCAGTGCCTTAGAGCAGAGGAACCCCCGCGACGGCCGAGGCGAGGAGGAGGAAGAGGACGAAGGTGCCTCGAAGGTCGCCAGCGAGATGAGGAGACTGGTCCCCAAAGGATCTTCGGCCCAGGGGACACCCGAAGGGTGGTGATGGAGAGAAGCCACCGTGGGATGTCCAGGAGCTGGGGATGTCACCGAGGCCACCGTCGCCACCCGCCTGGCCCCATCCCGTGGCACCCAGAGCCGCCCCGAGGAGCGCCGGCATCGCATCCCCCATCCCACCGGCCCCTGCTTCCCCCCCGCTTCCCCCCGCTTCCCACCCCCCGGGACGGCACAACGAGACACCGGGGAAAGGGCTGACGCAGGAAATCCCGGGAGACAGAAAAATAATAAAAAAGGACAAGAAAAGGAGAAAACCCACCAAAAAAAAAAAAAGAAAAAAGAAAAGAAAAGAAAAAAAGAAAAAAAAAAGAAAAGAAAAAACAACAAAAAAAGCGCTTGGCGGAGAGGGAAACCTGTTGTTTTTTTTTAAAGATCTGAGAAAAGAAACACATTAAAAAAAAGACAAAAAGACAAAAAAAAAAAAAAAAAGACAAATAAACTGCATGGTGCTTTAACAGGATCTGGTGACCTGGCTCAACCCAGCCGCGGCTGGCTGATGCTGTGCATGGCAGACTCTTATTAACCGGCTCTACCTTCCCCTTCAGCAAAAGAGAAAAAAAAAAAAGAGGAAAAAAAACAACAAAAAAAATCTGTATAAAAGAGAAAAAAAATCCTTAAAAAAAACCACACAAGAAAAAAAAAATCCATGTTTTCCTAATTTGCACGAAATTTTATACCACATGATGTGCCTTGCCTTCGAAGCCTAAGTATTACTGGACCCGATATCAGTGCGAGGGAGTCGCTGCATGCCCGGGGCTCCCGGGGGGCCGGGGGGGCCGGGGGCCGCTGCCCCCCCCTCGCCTCCTGCATGGCTTCTTCTCGGCCGGAAAAGTCCCTTTTTCTCTCTATTCTTCTTCTTTTTTAACCGATTTTCCCCCTCAGAAACGTCTTCCAGTTGGTAATACCGATGCATCCTCTGCGCCAACACACCGGAATATGCAATAGCTGTGGGAGGGGCCGGCCGGGGGGGCGGCCGCCCCTTTGCTTTGCCTCTCTTTTCTTTGTTTTCCTTCCCTTTTGGGGGGTTTTGATTTGTTTTTTCTGCTTCCAGCAACCAAAGGCAGCGAGGCGGGAGGCGGCAGGGACCCCCGGGCCAGAGGCCCCGCAGAAGTCGGGGGGTCGCGGTGTCCGGGCGCGGCAGGACTGGCCGGGGTGTGCTGGGCTCCGTGCGGGAGGAGCGGGGCTGCAAACCCGCAGGGCCGATCCCGGGGCGGGCCAAGGCTGCCCCCGCTCCCCCTTAGGGGACCCCCACTTTTTAATTGGTTTTCAGCGGGCCGCAGGGCCGGGAGGGCTGAGCCCGGCTGCTCCCGTGACAGGAATGGAACCGTGTGAATGTAGCTGTGCCCCCCACCCCGGGCTGGTGTCGGGGGGTCACAGCCTCCCCCCACCTCCACCCCATCGGCTTCATCCCCGGGGTCCGGCCGGCGCGGCAGGGAGCGGCAGGAGGTGCCTTCTTGCCGCCTCTCCCTGCTGTGCCCGCTGCCGAGCAGGGGCCCGACACCCCCTAAAAACCCTGAATTTGCCTTAAAACCCCAGCGTTCCGCCGGCTGGAGACCCCCGAGCTCCCTGCGGCTGAGAGCTGACGCGGGTTGTGACAGCGGTGGGCGGGTGGCACCGGCATCGCTGCTGCTCGGGCATGAAGAAACGTCGTCGTCAACAGTTTTTAATTTTTGTTTGTTTGTTTTGGTTTTGTTTTTTTGTTTTCTTTTTTTTCTTTTTTTTTTTTTTGGTGTCCAAAAGTATTAGTGGGGGGTGACGGGGTGGTCGCGTCCCGCCGGGTTTCGCCCACAGTTGAGGCTGGTTTGAGGGTCCCAGACCCTCGGGGGAGCCTTGGGAGACGCTTCTTTATGCAAGGTGCAGTATTGATTTCTGCAAGGACAATGCAAGGAGGGAGTGGGGGCGGCGTCCGGGGGGGCCAAAAAAAAAAAAAAAATTAAAAAAAAAAAAAAAAAGCATTTTTAAACGGTGACAGTGACAGCGGAGGGAGGGAGCGGGGGGCACCGGGGCAGCCCCTTCGGTCAGCCCCGGGGAGGCGAGGGGCGCTGGCGCCCCTCGGGCCTGGGCCCCCCCGCCCCGAGCAAGCCCCGGAGCCCCCTGTCCCCGCGGGGGTCGTCCCCTGCCCCCTCTTTGCTGCCTCCCCACCCCGGGCCGGCTGCAAGTCCGGTCGGGCTGCGGTCGCAGCCCCCCAAAACCCGCCCTCGGCAAGAAAAGCACCTTAAACTAAATTTTAAAAGGCAAAAAAGAATCAACTCGACGCCCCCCAGCCCCTAGGGCGGCACTGGGGGGGCGTGCCGGGGCTTCCCCTTGCGGGGCCGGGAGCCCCCCGTGCCCCGGGGTCTTTGCACTGCTCCCCCGACACCCCCGGGGCCGCACCCCCGGCTCTGCCCAAAGGGAATATGCAACACCCCCGGTCCCTCCGCGGGGGAGGGGGACACCACTCATTTTTATTATTTCTATTTTTTTAATCATTCTCCCTTCTTTTTTTTTATCTTCTGGCGGCCTCGATGGCCACGGTCGGGGTGAGCTCAAAGGCGGGGTGAGCACCCCATCCCTGGGGAAGCTCTGGGGGGGTCCCCCGCAGGATGGGGATACGAGGGGGCTCCGCTCGACAATCACCACGGGGGTTTCATGCACTACAGTCTCTCCTAGAGGGTTTTTAGTCGGGCTCGTCGGCTTAAAAAATTAATTAAAATAGTCCTTGTGACCTATAAATAAAACAAATAACCTGTACATATATATATATATATATCTATATATATATATATCTCCACATATATATATATGGGGCTGCAGGGCCGGGGGAGGGCGCGGGCCCCCACACAGTTAAGGTACTTTAAGTCGCAAAGGAATATATATATATAAAATCTCATATATATATATATATATATATATATATATGTCTTGTTTGGTGGGGTTTGGGCTTTTTCTTCTTTTTTTTTATTTTGGTTTTTCTTTGGTTCTGGGTTTTTTTTGGTTTTTTTTGGTTTTTTTTTTTTTTGGGTTTTTTTGTTTTTTTTGTTTTTTTTTTTTTTTTTTTTTGGTTGTTGTTTTGTTTTGTTTTGGTTGGTTTTTTTGTACTCGGAGTTTGGAATTTGCTGCTTTCTGCCCTACCCCGGGTATCCCGCCACCGGCTGGGATGGGTGCCCCCGGTGATGGGTGCCCTGGGAGAGACCCTCTGGGTGCCCTGTGCGGTGCCCGCGGGTATCACTGTGGGTGCTCCAGGTGATAGCCGCGGGTGCCCCAGCTGGTGCCCATGGGGGTCCCACGGGTGTTCCAGATGATGCCCCTCTGGGTGTCCCCTGGCACCCCAGGTGATGCCCACGGGGGCCTCTCTGGGTGCCCCAGGTGGTGCTCACGGGTGCCCCGCAGGGTGCCTCGAGCAATACCCACCAATGCCCCTCCGGGTGCCCCAGGCGATGCCCAGGGGTGCCCCGGTCCATGGGTGCCGCTCTGGGCACCCGCGTGCCCCGCTGGGCGTCCCGCGCGATGCCCGGGGGCGGGCGGGAGGTGGAGCCGGGCTTGGGAGAAATCCCACCCCTGGGCAGAGAGCGGCAAA